TAGAGCTGCCCGAAATGAGTAGCAGAATCCACTTCTCAGTGCTGATACTTGCATGTAGGAGCAGGCATACAGAAAAAAAAGAAATGAAAATAATACCAGAAAATAATGATTAAAAGTGGAATTTAGTCTGGGTTCAGCTTAGCAGCTGTCCCTGGCCAACGCTTGTGTGCATAATACAGGATAAGTTCAAGACAGACTTTTAAGCTGGGACAATGTAGGGTATTCCTGGTGAATGAAGTACTGGGAGTGACCTGGCCAGAGACACTGCAGTAAAAGCCCTCCCTTCCTTGGCACTGCTAGTGAAATAGGGCTGAGGAGAATGAAGTTGCCTATAGAAGTCTAAAGCCCAACAAGACCATAGGAGAGATTTCCATGGATTTCACTGGATTTTTGTCTCAAATCTGGAGCCAGTATGAGAGCTCCTTTCCAAGCAGAAAAACTGTGTGTATGCATAATACCTAAAACCATTTATTTGGCCTTACCTTTTTGATAGATCAGAAATTAAATGCCTAAGAGACAGAGATGATCTATACTTTGTGTGCAGATGGACTGCAGCCCCTGGCACTTTTCATGAAGTTTGAAAGAAGATTGCTTGGTCTGGTTCTTGATAAAGGAAATAGCTATAAACCCAGTCCAGGGATTACCTGAAATGAAGGCATTTTTTGAAGACCTCATTGGTGAGGTCACTTAAAGCAGATGGCAAATTGAACCTTCCTGCCCATGACCTCACCCGCTGAAGCAGAAAAGAAACCAAAAGAGCTTTTCAGCAGTGCTGCCTCTGCCGCAGCGTCTCTGTGGGTGGGTGCTAGACTTTGGATTGGGTTTCAGTTAAGTTGGAGGCTATTTGGGTTGCAGCAGTCTGTGCTCCCCAGGAAGATTTTCTCACTGTCACTGCTCCCTGTTTTAATCAGCAGGGTCTCGTCTGTCTACAAAGCCGCAGCCTGCTCTGTGCCAGGACAGCCCTCCCAGTTGCCAGTCTGGACTGTGGGGGGTAAGCCCCAGGGTCTATGGGTGGACAGTCAGACCAACACCAGCATGTCTGAAATGCCCCTCTGGAGAGGGGCAGCAGGCTCTACCAAGCAGGGGGAAGCCCATGCAGTACCAAATCGGCAGAGTCCAACCCCAGAATCCAACAGAGCAGTTACTCTTTACTGCATCTGATTCCTACACAGAATCGAACTCTCTTGCTTCCATACCTGTGGCTGCTAAAAGTTTCTGAACTTTTGAGCTAACTTAGCCAAATTGTTATGCAATTATGTAAGTTTTGACATATGAATAGTCCCATTGAAGTGACCGCTATTCCTTATATCCTTCAAGTTGCCCGTGCATTAAAGTACATTGCTGAATCAAGGACATTTATATTAGCCTTCACCATCTTCCAAAAGTAACAACTGCTTGTTTTCCTTTTCTCAGACTCTTCGAAGACTTTCTTAATCTATTTTCACAGCTGTAAACTAAGGGGATCTCTGCTCTTTGCTTGGATTAGTCATCAGGACTTGAAGGGTTTGCTTAAAACCAGCAAGCCAAGCATTGCCTTCTGTTCTTCGCAGTGTCCAGTCATGGTTGTGTGCAGGGACACACTCATACCGCTTCCCAGGCAGACCTGCCAGCACCTTCAGACAATGCAAACATAAAGTCACTGTTTCTCTTTCCAGTTTTCCATTTTAGTCTGAAATGGTTGCAATGCTCAGCATGTGTATGTGCTTACTGAGTGCCTGGTTAGCCTGCTCATGCCCTGGGACACCTCAGTCCCAGGCTAGGGTCTGAGAAAACACTAGTGGTAGACCTTGCTTTGGCATTATCTTCCAAGTTCCCTTCTTGCTATAGGACTCATCTTTCACTTCCTTAGACCTCTGACTCTACCTCTCTTGACTCTTAACTCCGGGCTGAGTTCCAGCCAGGGAGCTCAGCCATGTTCCCAAGGTTGAACAGAGCCTAGGACTGAGCCACTAGCAGCCCTGAAGCTGCTTTTGCAGCCCTCAGAGCCCCTCTGCCTGCCCAGCTGACTGTTCCCATCCTCTGAGCCCAGCCCCGTGGGAGGCTTGGCTGAGTGCCAGCACAGTAGGCAGGCAGGCAGGTGTGGTGCGCTGCCTCTGCTACCTCTGTCCACCCTTGCTGCAGGAGGGGAGCAGCAGGACCTTATTGAGGTGATCTTGGTAAAGTTCTGGTAGAGATGGACACCTCTGTCCCACCTGGCAGACCTGCCCTTGATTAGCCCCAAATCTACATCAGTGAAGTTGAAAATGCTCTGTTTTCCCATCCATTATCTTCACTTGTCATCTTCTCCTGGAAGTTCTGCCACATGGACAAGCTTTCTCTAGACTTGGAGCTCACTAGAAAATTAGTTTCCTGTTCTCTCTGCGTGCTGCACACCTGAGAACAGCGCATTTTTCCTCAGCTTCTCTACTCCTGCATCATCCTTCCTGCCTGCTAACAGCACAGGTAGCCAGCTGACTAATCCTTCTCCCCAGTGCTTTGCCCTCCCAGTGACTTTAATAACAAAAGGAATAAGTGGGAGCTGTGTGGATGCATCCATCAGCTCCAGCCTCACACCCCAGCTGTGGAAAGGGTTTTTCCTCAATCCGTATTCACGTTGTGTTACACACTAGGGAAACTGATTGGAATGTAATATGTATATTGGTGTGTTTTAATCAGTAGTATGAACTACTCTCCCTATCCTCGTGACTTTTTTATTTCCTTCTTAGGAGGGCTTTATTGCACTTGTTACTTTCTGTTATACTGTGATGGTTGGTAAGAGATTTTTTGCCAGATTTATGCTTAGTGAATTATCCCTGAAATTTGTGGAGCTATAGAGGAATTTAATTTGGCAGTGTGGAGTTGATCTTGCTCCCAATGATGCCTTCAGCTGAAAATCTCAGGTTTCGTTGCCTTACTTAGGGAGAAAAAATAGGCCCATGTCTTTAGTATTCCTCAGAAGGAATGCCAGAGGCACTGTAAATAGCTGATGCCAGAGGCACTGCAATGATGTAGAGACCCTGCTGCCACTGTGTATGAAGAAGTGTGGTAGCAATCTGTGCCAGAGGCATTTAGGAAATATACCCCTGAAGGCAAAGCTTTCTGAAAGGTGAGGGGGATTTTAGCAATTGCATTAGCATATATGGTGTGTTCAATACCTTTGATTTTATTTTAATATCATGAAGTGGAAGAATTCAGAGGTGATGCACAGCATCCTCATGATATTGGGGCCAGAAGAAGCAGTTGGAATGAAAGCCTAATAGAAATTCAGTGTGCTCCCATGCTGAGCGCAGAATTGGTTGACCACATAAATCTAAATGTCAAATAACTAGAAAGTTGTACCAGTTGGAAATGTGATGGTTTATTTCTATGTTGTCAACACGTGAAAAGAAGCAGACCTAATTGACAAGGAGGAAAAAAATGAAAGTAGGACCAGGACACCATAAGTGTTTTCAGGAAGTGGGAAAATGTCAGTTAGTAATTACTGTGAGAGCTAAACATCATGTGGGCATTTATAAGTATTATCTAAAAAGGGAGACGCATTGAAAAGTTTGTAGCCCCAAGTGCAAATAGACTTGTTAGAACACTGCTGAACAGCAAAACACAGATTGGTGAGCAATCAAGAAATGATGATGCTTTATTGAGTGGTGCGGATTGTTACTTCGTTTGATTTGATTAATTTCCTGTAAGGAAATTAAAGCTCAGACACTTCTAAACTCAGTTATATTTCTAAAGATCATCTTTGCGTGCCAGCTTTTGCCTAGAAACTCACCCAAAGATGTCGGCCATTGAAACCATTTCATGTGGAAGCATTGCTAAGTAAATTCACTAAATGCCTATTCATCCCAGTAAGATGGAGAACCACTGGAGCAGCAAACGTGAAAATCTGCACAGCTTACTATACAGAAAGCAGTTTTCTGAGGTTGCCAAATTGAGATGCAGAGTCTGACCCTCGGAGGTATTATAGCTCACATGAGTGAGCATAGGAGGAGGGTCTCAGGCTCCTAAAGGACGCTCGTGCTGGTTGATAGGCCAGTATTTCATTTGGTCCAGATAAAATCAATGATTATGAAGATAGTTTACTAGGCTGGTAACATTTCCAAGTTGTTGCAGCCTGAGCCCAGAAGTTAAATGCATTTTGTACAGGTCTGTGGTTTAACTTGGTTATCTGTGGCTTACAATACTAAAATGTTTTCAAGATACAGTACTGTTGACAGCTGCTTTATCTTTCATTTTTCTGCCACCAGCTCTATTGCAGATCATTGCTTAAATGGTACTGTATCTATAATGTTGTGGTTTTGAATGCAACTCAGGAGATGAGGATCTTTTTAATATGATTTATTCCGTTTTCTTTAATACGCTGACCTAGATAAATAGAGAACATTTTTGCTCCATTGTTAAAGAAATAACACACTACAAAAGCTGTCAAGCATAAAAACATTCTTGGACGTGTTGGCTGAAATTCTGAAAATACTCGTATCAGATTGCCGGTCATACTAATTGGAATTAATCTTCTGAATTCTGAATTCCTTTGTTCCTCTTAATTATATTTGCATTTTGACATTCAAGTTCCCTTGCTTTATGCGTTTCAACCTTGGCCTCTTCTCTATTACAAGGATGAAAACAAATAAAATACCAATAGATGCTTAACCAAATTCCCTAGGAAAAGTCTAGCAAAGCATGTAAAATGGGACTATCAGTGCAGTCATCTCACAGCTGGGTTTTCATGCTTTAAAAGTGCTGAGCAGTATTACTTAATACATACTCTGTTACAATGCTTAGAGAAATCTTCCAAGAGTTGATAGGAAATTTGTGAAGATGTAGTAAAGCTGAGCTTCTTCCCAAGTGCACTTTCCTGAGGGAGGCAGTGAAGTTCAACAGCAGAATGGAAGTTTTTTTAGCATCTGCCTTCTTCACAGAGTCTGTGGACGGGTCCCCAAATGAGAACAGTAAGTGTATAAATTAGACTAGACATACTAGTTTTCACATTGTAATTTATGCATTCTGTATTCTTTTTCTTGCAGGACAAATGACCAGCTAGTAGCATTCCTGTCCAGATATCGTGACATGAACTTCTTGAAATCACATGGGAGGGACAATGCAAGGTAAGCTGGCCCTTCCCTCAGCTGATTTTTAGCCATGGCACTGAGAGTTTTTGCATAGTGATGGTTTTCCAGCATTAGCCAAATGAAGAAATCCCTAGCCCAGGAAAGAAAAGCAAATGGGGAGGAAGTCCTCTCCTGAGGACAGTTGTCTATTCGTCCAGACTGGCTCATTCCCACAGCTGTAATTGCCAAGTAGTTATTGCCCCACACAGCAACACTTCCCTGCCTCAGTCAGTCCCAGCCACACTGGGGACCAAGACCTGCACTAGCTGGGGTCTGCAAGCAGAGCATCTCTGCAGGATGTGGGAGCCTACACCAGGGTGAATATGCTAGTGATGGTGGCTGGAGGTAGCATGATCTGCTAGCATTTTGGAGTCCTTGAATCAGCATCCTTGTTCATCTACCCTGCACAGGTCTCGGAGAGAAGAGAATGTGCTATGTTTCCCACAGTGCATCACTAATACTTACAGCTTTGCGGCTTGAAGGAGCAGCAGTGTCCAAACACCATGTTTCCAAAGATTTAAACAACCTCTGCAGGTGGAAGATCTTTCCCATCTGATTGCAGTGGTCTTTTCCTCTTTATTGATAGTTTTGGACCATAACAGCAGTTTCGCAACAGTTCCAGCAACTCCATGTGCTGAGTCCCAGTGGCTTTGAACCTAAAAATAGTGTTTTATTCTGCTTGGGTCACCAGCCCATCTCTTTACTCTGTAAAATGTCCAGCATACTCTTAAGGCTGGGTTCAGATAGTAAGGATAGGGAATATGACCCACTGAGCTGCATCTTCAGTGCAGCAGGTAGGTAGGATAACACACAGGTCTCTCTCACTTCTTGGCTGCTCTTACCACTAGGTATGTCAATTCAGGCATGTTCCTGTTTAAATTAAGCCCTCATGAGCATTCATCTTGTGCATGCTGAAGTTCTACAGCAGGTAATAAAAAATAATACTGTGAGAAATAATATTTAAATCTGAGAATCTGAGTCAACAGTTTTCATAGGAGAGTCTCTGGCCTGGGAAATGCAGTGTCAGAGTGATTGGCAGGTTGAATTCAAGCTGGTAATAGTGATCATCAGCAGAGTTATTGTAGGAAAGGGAAGAGACACAACCAGGGAAAAGCAGTTGGTCTCCTATGCCTCTTTGCTCCTCTGGTGCTCCTGATTCTTCTCAAATTCCCTGAGCTGGCTAAGGAAAATAATGAATTATGACATGTCACATCAAGGTGGCTTAAACATGCCAACCTCAACTGGGTTAGAATAATTTAAATCAATTAAACACATTAATCTGGCATTAATATAATAATGAAATTATCTAATGTGCCACTTGTCATCTCCTCACAGGAATAATAACCCATTTGTTAGTTCAGTGATTCCCTTTGACTATATAAACAATTAAATACATTTTAGCCTACTACAATATGTCGCTGTGTTTTGTTTTTTCTGCTGGATTTCTACCATAAATTCTTTCTGCATCAGGGAACATAATGTGGGACAAGAGTGCAGATTTGCCATCCCTGTCTGCTGTGGTTGTGTAGTCACTGCATCCTGTAAGCGCTCCCACTGGATGAACGATTCCTTTCACATCACCCCTTGGCAGCTCCCCAAAATTTCTATCAGGGACATAGTGTCTCCCGTCCTCCTGCCTAGCCCAGATAACCGCAGAGACAGGGCAGCAGGACAGCTTCAAGCCAGTAGCTCCAGCAACCTCTGAGTAATACTGGTATTGGGTAAAAAAATCATTCCATTGGTGTCAAAAGCTGATCAAAAAGCTGTTAGCCCTCAGTTTGTGTTGTGGGTTATCTTCCAGCTCTACAATCACTTGTAGAGAGAGAAATCGTATCTACTGTGAGGATCTCCAGCCTGATCTTTCAGTTTTAGTGTTTCATTAACTGAGTCTTGTCCGAACCAGTAAATCTACCATCTGCTCTGCCCATTTGACACGGTTTTCAGGTGGCTTCCATTTTATGCCCAAGGTATGTAAGCTTAGGTTGTGCCAGTGAGGTTTATCCCTGGAGTTAGAATGATGAAATCCTCTGTATGAACCCAGGCAGGTGAAACAAGACCAGGGGCCTACCTGTCCTGCTGCCTCTAGCTGATGCTCACAGAGGAGCACAAGAGGCTGATAGTGATGCTTCCTTACAGTATTCTCTCAGCCTCCTGTGACCTTTGCTTGCAGAATTTCCACAGCCAGACTTGGTGACTTGTTCATTTAAGAGTGGGGGATGATTATTATTTTCTATTGATTTTTCCAGGTAGTTTTTAAATTTTGCCGTTTGCTTTGCCTTGTCACAGCCCTGTGGAAAAGAAGTATCCTGTGGTGGGAATGGTATGGCCAAGAGCTTAGTAAGGTCAGCAAGAGAAGCAACAGCCTCTTTGGCCACAAAAATTTAACAAACAAAAGGCAGCTTTTGGAAAGGATTTTGGGCACAGGCCAGTCTCCAAGATATTGGGCAATAGGAGAAAACTCCCATGGGACATCCTATCTCAAAACAGGCTGGAACAGGGGTTGTCATTTAAAATGGCTAGTTGAAGCCCTGATAATAAGAGAGAGGACACTGGGCTAGACTGAATGCCGCCCATGTACAATAGTAATTTTGCTGTTACAAGGTGTTTTTCTCAAAACGTGATCTAATAATAGGGTGCTTCACATTTAAATATCACTGAAAGCAGTGTATAACCCTTGCTACTACTTTGTATTTTAATCTGTGGGTGAATAATGGCTCCTAAGCAATAAGCTTTTCAATTGTGTAAGTCTGTTTTGTAAACAACTAGAAACTCTGAATTTTAAGTCATCGGATCATGCAACAGAAAGATTAGAAGTACCATCTTAAAACCGAAATACTTATACAGCTCAATTACAATATACTTTGTATTCAAGCCATGTTCACAATCAGCACATGTTTTACTGCCAAATAAGGAGAGAAACCAGGCTTCCTTTATAGAGCGAAGTTTTCTTTTAGTTATGCCAAAGTCATTAAAAAGCACATCGCTCTGATTTTCCTTTAGTGGCTTCTGAAAAGGGAATGGACGTGAAAATGCTTCCTTAACTCAGCTGGAGAAGCGTTATTTCTTTAGCTGGATGTATGAAATGAAATTGCATACAGTGGCTGGAGTCGTTACATAGTGCTTAGTGGGCAACACTTACATTTTCTCCTCTTTTCAGTGTCCCAGACTATTAAAAGCAAAAGAATAACCCAGTAGTTGTATAAGCTGTTACAGTTTGGAACACTTGGAAGTTTTCATTTTTTGGCAGAAACAGCACCTGGCTGATGTATTATCAAATATAAAGACAGTCAAATGTGACTTCTTCAGCAACAGGCAGGAAAAAGTTTTTTTTTTAATAGAAACCTTGCCACAGTAGTCATTTGGGAAGCAATGTAAACATACGAAAGGCTGGATGCTGTTACATCTTAGAGGAATCCAGAACTCATAGGCAGACTACATACTGCTTTTAATAATGAGCATGGCAAGCCTGTCCCAGTTCTTAGAGGCTGGAGCGTCCTGAACTCCTGGAGGACTGGAACATGTTACCAAAATCTCCACCTCTATCAGCCCAGTTCTGCTGATGCATATCTGTTTCCTCACCTCTCCAGACAGGCCTTTTGCTCCACTGAAGCACATGTTCATTGGCATCCTGTTCACTGGATTGGTGGTAGTTTGGTGGTTGGTTAGAAAATGGATCACACAGTAAATGCTATCGTGTATTGCATTGATGAATTGTCCAGTAAGTACCCAAATACTAGGGAAAAGATTGATACATTATCCCTGCTGTTGGAATAGTTTAACCACTTAGCTCCCAGCAGCACTTAGCTTGCTGCTCATGTAAAATACTTGGCTTAAATTTCTCTCAGCCACACTTTTTTGTTAATTTTTTGGAAACGCTTCAGTATTCTGAAGCAGACAGACTAAGAAGATCTATTTTTTGCTTGTAACTAGTTCAGCCCAACAGTTGTATGTCAGCTGTAGCAACTGAAATAGTAACATGCATCTTCTATGCAAAGAGACTGCACTTTACATTACAGCTAACTTTGAAATGTTCCTTATTGTTTTATGCTAAGCGTTAGGGGAACCATAAAGCCGTTACTGCTTCAGCCTGACAGTTTGCCTTCTATTACAGCTTTTATTTCTGCTTGGTTTTGGAAAACCATGCTAAGTTGTCAATGCAAAGAAAAAAAACTAGGTTGAAGATGCAGTAAAAATAGAGGTATGTCTTGACATGGGACAAAGCAGGGTGGGTTTTGGCCTTGGTAGAGTATGCAAGTAAGATCATCCACCAGTTTGGGAAGGTGCAGTAAGTGAGAAGGTTTGAAGTAGCCATAACTTACCTGGTGAGATGGGAATTAGGAAGGAGGTGAAAATTGAGGTACCAGTAATCAAAAATTGTATTGTTATCTAAGAACATTGAGTTGCACACTTCATTTTCAGTGGTATAAATAGTAACATTTGTGTCCTTTCATCTGAGGTTCTGAAATAGTTTATAAATTGATTATGGCAAGGAACATCCTTCTAAATTAGACAGATATTGTTAGCCCTGTTTTAACTTCAGGTCGATAGCCTGATTTAGTAACTTGAGAATCTTCATACAAGTGACTCACACTTGCCCTTGATCACTTGGAAAGTTTGAATCTCCATTTCCTTTTCTTTCTTCAGTCGTCTGGTATGCAGATCCTGAGAAACAGTAAGCACAGCAGAAATACCCAGCAATACAATTGTGGTGGCCACCCAAGTGTCCTCTGCAGTGCGTGTCCATTGGCATTGCAGCTGTGATCTGGCCATGGCTGAAGCAATAGTATGTGCTGTAGCTGCTCCAGCAGCAGCATCATATAGGTGAGATGGCTTCCACTCAGGCTCAGCAGCATTCCCAGGTCAGAAACTGCTTGGTTGTGTGGGTGCTGGGAAGAAGAGCAGGTAAGGGGACAAGAAATCTCATCTAGAGAAGACAGTTAATGGAGACAAACAGATGGCAAAATGCCAGCTTTCTCACCATTGAGTCTGTCTGTGGT